AAAGAGGCGCGGGCGCGCAGGGGGCGGCCATGCCAAACTCGTCCCTCTTCCTCCTCCTCCTCCTCCTCCTCCTTTCCCTCCCTCCTCCTTCCCTTCCTCCTCCTCCTCCTCCTCCCCCTCCTCCCCCTCTCCCTCCCCCTCCACCCCCTCCTCCTCCTCCTCCCTGCCTCTCCCCTCTCTCCTCCCTGCTCCTACCCTCCTCCTCCTCCTCCTCCTCCTCCTCCTCCTCCTCCCTCCTCACTCCTCCTCCTCCTCCGCCTCCCCCCCCTCCTCCTCTTCCTCCTCCTCCTTCCCTTCCTCCTCCTCCTCCTCCTCTCCTCCTTCCCTCCCTCCTCATTCCCTTCCTCCTCCTCCTCCTCCTCCTCCCCTCCCCCTCCTCCTCCTCCTCCTCTCCTCCTCCTCCTCCTCCCTCCTCCTCCTCCTTCCTCCTCTCCTTCCTCCTCCTCCTCCTCCTCTCCTCCTCCCCTCCTCCTCCTCCTCCTCCCCTCCTCCTCCTCCTCCTCCTCCTCCTCCCCCCTCCCCCCCCTCCCCCCTCCCCCTTCCTCCGCCCCCTCCCCTCCTCCTGCTCCTCCTCCTCCTCTCCTCCTCCTCCTCTCCTCCTCCTCCTTCCCCTCCCTCCTCATTCCCTTCCTCTCTCCTCCTCCCCTCCCTCCTCCTCCTCCTCCTCCTCTTCTCCTCCTACTCCTCCTCCTCCTCCTCCTCCTCCTCCTCTCCCCTCCTTCCCTCTCTCCTCCTCCTCCCCCTCCCCCTCCCCCTCCCCCCTCCTCCTCTCTCCTCCTCCTCCTCTCCTCCTCTCCGCCTCCTCCTCCCATCCTCCTCCTCCTCCCTCCTCCCCTCCTCCCTCCTCTCCTCCTCCTCCTCCTCCTCCTCCTCCTCCTCCTCCTCCTCACCGTAGACACGCTAACGGCGATGTATCGGCGGCGAGCCCGGGGGGGAAGTGAGAAGGAGGGGGCCTTCTCAGGGGGCTCGGAAGTCTTCCGGCCTTCTGAGAAGTTTTCTGAACCCTCCCCGAAGACACAGAGCTTCTCAGAAGGCGCGAGGGCTTCTGAGAAGCCCCGCCGCCTTCCGAGAAGGCCTTTTCCTTCTCACTTCCCCCCCTCGCTGGCCGCCGAGATGCAGGCAACGGCAATGAAGGTCTCGGCATTGCAGGTGGAGGTCCTGCGTGGCCAACCCGAGCGTAGGACAGCGCTGTTCGCGTTTGCTCGCAGCTTGTCCTGCGTGAGTTCGGCGTCGCAGCAACCAGATCCCCAACTTCGCCGCTGACCAACATCGCCGCTGGCGTGGCCTTGGAAACAAGGCAGGGCCGCGCAGCCCGAGAAGCCACGCGCGCCCAGCGCCGGAGGCGAGGCGCCCTCTCTGGCAGTGCCGCCCCCCCCTCCCCCCCTCCCCTGACGTTAAGTCGGGCCTGTCCCTCTGCAGCGGGATTTTCGCAGAAAAATAAAGAAAACGCCCCAACAATGGTCAAACAACAGTTCAAACATAGTCTGGGGACTAGTTTTCTGAGTATTCTTCTAATCTTTTTGCGGTATGTTTGGGATATGTTTCATTTTTCGTCGAAAATCCCCCTGTATGGGGGACACGCCCGACATAACCCTGACGCCGCAGACCCTCCGAGTCAGATGCCCGGCGTGCTGCTTCTGCTGCTCAATCCCGCGGCCCCAGAGGGCGCCCGACCCCCTCGCCAGGGCCAGTTTTGCGTCCCGGGCTCACTTCTAATGGCCGAGGCGGGCCCGAGGAAGGCCAGGCCTGCAGCTGCAGAGAGAAGCCGTGGCAGAATGCGGGGGCCGGAGCGACGCGAGTCCTTCAGACGTCTTTCTGTGTTGTCGATCGGAGGTTGGCGGCCTTTGCAGTCGGCTGGGATTAGTAGGTCTGCCCTGCCAGATCAAAGGCACATATAAGCATCGCGCGCTGTGTCCTCTGCAGTCCTGGGGCAAGCTGATGCTTGTGATGTCCTGTGATATCTCTGCGGGTGTCGGCGGCTTGGCCCGCGGCGTTCTGGGCGCGTACCGGCGCGGGGAGGTCGCGGCCCTGGTCAAGGGTACCATTTGTGTCCTCTCAGATTTGGGGGCTCTCCTCCTCCTCCTCCTCCTCCTCTTCCTCCTCCTCCTCCTCGTCCTCCTCCTCCTCCTC